CTCCGCCACAGCCACCACCAGAGTTATTTTTACACATCTGCCAGCATCTGGCCAATCCACCACCTCTCATTGTTTATACTGTTACAAAAAAAATCATCGGCCCATAGAAACGAAAAATCACCGTCAGCCCAGATGGCCAGTCCAGCTATGGTCGTGCCATCAGTTAACCCTTCACGTGCCAGCTGTGGCATGCGTGCCCAGGGTTGCCGATCCCTGTTCTAGAGTTTTTAATTCTGCACCTGACCCCACTGCCATGTTAAGTCTTTTATTTGGTCTGCTGTTAGTGATGTCATGTTGCCTTAATGTCACATTATCTTCATACGAGGAGCAGGGTAACTTAATCTTATAATGTTACAACCGCATTTGACTCGAACACATTTGACTCAAATAAGGGATGAAGTTGGTAATTAGTAATATTTTAGTTAATGTTACGTGTTAGCTGTTTCATTACAATCAGTTGAGAAAACTATACTTTGATGATGAAGACAACAGCATCAGCCTTGAGTGTTTTCATTGCCACACAACTACCAGCAGAAATATTTGCCTACAAGAAGAAAATAATCACACAAGTAGAATTATAGTGTTAGACTGATATACACACAAAGCACTGTGCATAGTGTACTATAGATGTGTACTGTAGTGTTAATCTGCAGTTAGGTCAGTTAAGTTCTTAGACTAAGGCTTGTTCATTGTCCATTGGGATCACCTTTAATAACACTAAGTACTCAATTACTGCATTTTTTAAGTGTGCAGAGTAGCTAAATGTGTTTTGCTGGTGTGGTTTCATGCAATCCACGCCAGTTTTACCGAGGACGATGATGATTTGAATTTTCATTGTTGTGAACAGATTCTAGCACCTTTTTAAAGGAATGATGTTTTCTCCTGACTTCCTGCTAACTGTAATGCTTTCTGTAAGCTCTGCTTGTTTCTAATAAGATGTTCTCACTGAAGACTGTGTGGGTGGGCTTTGTTGCACAAGCGACTGCTTCGAGTGAATTAGGTGGCGGATAAATGGATTACTCACATTGTGAGGATGCAGTGCAAGGACTAATATGCCTGATTTGCTTTGCTTTCTGTCTTCATTTAACCTAGTGAGATTACTAATGTGACAGCTGTGGACTGCCGTTACTAAACAAGCTGAACTGTAGCACTGCTGTGATGTTTCCTTCATGCTTCTTTCACTACTTTGAACCTCAACTACTTTGTCTCCACATATAGGAGGTACACGCAGAGTCCCAACCAGGTGTGCACTTTTTTTAGCTCTTTGATGTGCTGTGAGTAATTTCTCCTGGTAAACGGTTACAAAACTTATTAGAGCTTCATTAAAGCAGAATAGCAGCTTTTGCATCATGGGATACTTGGTTATCCCGAGTGTGCACAGATTACTAGAAACATAATAAAATGTTTATGGCACGATAAAACTGAGCATCAGTTGTGAGAATTCATTCAGAAGATGGATATCAGTTTTCATTTTGATCTGTAATTTCTGGTATAAGTGTCTTTGTTGTCACATACTGGAATAATGTGTCATATTACTAATATAATGAAATCTTAAAAATGGTGATATATGTATATATGTGCTTGCTTTTATTTTACTGGTCTTATATTCTTCTTAGATGTGACCCATCATGTCCCTTCACCACTACCAGATATGCTATCACTCATTCCACTGGCAGCAGCAGAAACCCATCCTGTATGTGAGCTCGGTAGCCATGAACCAAAGAAAGGTATACTTCTGTGACAGGCTGTAAAATATTACATTGGTGCAGATGGATTACAATGATCATCCTTCAGCATGATGCTAAGAATACACTGATCAGCCACAATACTGAAACCTATAATACTGATGCTAGTCTATAACAATGTTACCATGTTTCAGTGGTTATGTGACTGGTACATGCTGTTTGTATCATACATCTGATGCCAGCTGTCAGTTTCCTTGCACTGGAAAAATGTAATGTACATTACATCAGTCTTGATGCTCAATCATCCAGGTAAATCTCCAAAAAGTTGATTCTGTTCATCTGGACGTTTTCACTGGGAGAAACGTTTCGTCATCATCAGGTGACGTCTTCAGTCTCAGCTGACTGCAGGTTTCAATCTTATAAACAGGACATTTGCATAATGACTGAAACCAGCCCACTGAAGGAACAATGGGCTGGGAGGTCACCTTCATCATAATTATGCAAATTCTCATGACTATTGATCAACAACCACTGATCAATGGTCATGAGTCTCATTCACAGAGAGTTGGGGAATGGCTGCAATCACAGCATGTAAGATGGTGACAGATGTACCCTTAGGCCCCTCCTCCATTCAGAGATGGTCTTTCCCTTTTCACGTAAATGGCCTCCTTGACTCCGCCCTCAAACCAGCGTTCCTTACTGTCCAGGATGTTACATCCTCATCATTGAAAGAGTGTCCACTGGCCTGTAGGTGTAAACAGACTGCAGAGTCCTGGCCTGATGAGGGAGCTCTTCTGTGCTGTGCCATCCACTTTGGTTGTTTGGTTTCCCCGATGTATAAATCCTGCCAATCCTCCTGCACTTAACAGCTACACTATGTTACTCTGTTTGTGTCGGGGGACCTGATCCTTGGGGTGGACCAGTTTTTGGCGCAGTTTGTTTTGGGGTTTTACAGCCACAGAGACCTGGTGTTTAGAAAAAATGCGTCTCAACTGCTCCGATACTCCTGACACATAGTCATTGGTTGTCCTTCTCTCCTGGATCAGCTGGAGCTTTCTTTATGAGCCTTCCCAGCTTTGACTAAAGTCCAGCTGGGATAACCACATTTACTCAGGGCCTTCTTGATGTTCTTCCCTGGCTGCTGTGTCAGTGGGGATGGTGTTCGCTGTGTGTTGTAGCGTCCTGATGACGCCCAGTTTGTGCTCCAGTGGATGATGAGAGTCAAACCTTAGATACTGATGCGTATGTGTAGGTTTACGATACACGTCAGCTTTTAGATGTCCCCCATTACTGATGGAAATCTCACAGTCTAAGAAGGCTAACCTGCCACTGTTCATATCCTCCCTGGTGAATCTGATGTGTCGGTCCACTGAGTTACTGTGATCCATGAAATGTGGTACGTCCTGAGATTTGATTTTCACCCAGGTGTCATCCACATATCTGAACCAATGGCTTGGTGGTGTTCCAGGGTAGGATAGCAAAGCCCTCTTTTCCACTTCTTCCATGTACAAATTGGCCACGATGGGTGAAACTTGGAGCCCATGGCACACCCATGTTTCTGCCTGTAGAACTGAGCCTTGTATGTGAAGTAGGTGGAAAGAAGACACAGTTCAAACACTCTTGGTCTGTGCTGAGAGTGGTCCTGTTGCTGCAGTCAGCTGAGACTGAAGAAGTCACGTGGATGAGTGATGAAACGTTTCTCCCGCTGATAATGCTGCGTCCAGATGAACAGAACCAACCTTTTGGGTACATTACATAACTTATCTATATAAAACTTTAGACACATAACACACTGATCAATAATTAGTCATTTGTTATCTTGTAATTAGCCAAACTAATGAAAAAAATGTCTGTTACAGTTGGGTAACGATGATGTGAATATTTGAGAGACGATGAGGTTGAAATGAGTTCAAGACTCAAAAAATGTGTTTTCAAGTGGACTTTTAGCTGCATCCTGTCCGAGTTCTCAATATTTTATGTTACATTTGTTTACAAATTGAGAATTAGTTCAGGACTACATGTTGTAAAAAACATTTTAAAAGGCACAGTGTCTGAAAGTCAGAGCGAGAACCACTAAAAATCATCTAAAGTCTCAATATAGCAACACTGAGTTTGATTACCCTGACTCGTGTCTGCTCTCAGTCCTTTGGCACTGCAGGACAAATCCAAAAGACATAAGGATTGCAGATTCAGACTGGATGTGTATCCACTTTGGATCCAGCTTATTCTTTCCCAAAATGATCTGTATTCTTTATTTAAAATGGCTTGTCCTCCCAAAACTGTGCTGAAATATTTAAAATCAATGAAAGCGTAGACTTTTTGTTTGCCTTTACTGATAAAACATGCTGTCCTGTATTTTTCAGTAAAATGTTGGGTAATTTGTGACCACAGACGGTATAAAAACTGGTTCTTTTGTCACACACATGCTTAACTGAGCATGAGCATACTCAGAGTTGATTGGCTTACATAGTGTTACTCAACTTAGACTTCATGGTTAAACTGTTGTTGAATATGTTATTGAGTTTGTTGAAGATACTTCCTGGGGCTTCTTCCAGAGGCCTGGGACCTACCACAAAGCTCAGGCAACATACCAGGGGGATGCTTCCATTATTCCATTTCCCAGATTATATCATTAGTTTTCCACAGAAAATGGTCCCTATGACCTATTTTATGAAGTGGTGATTAAAAGTCTATGAATCTGTTGTAAAAAGCACAGGCAATTAATGCTGAAGCAAATCTTAATTTAGTATTTTAGAGCATAAAATAAATATTGTAATTCCAGAAAATTATCAGTGCTGTTTTGTATTTCTAAGGTGATGGCTGTACTTTAGAGCTCTGAAACTGTTTATTGTCCCACAACCTGATACAGAAGGTTTGTGACTTTGTCACAGATCAAAGTGAAATTAACATGCGTGATTCCACAGGAATTCTTGGTGTGTGTCCTGTGTTCTCGTAGCTTCAGTTTCAACAGTGTAACATAGACTCAGCAGCAGATTAGAATCAATTACAGTATTTATACATTTTTGATATCACCAAGTGAATACATGCATGCACAGTTTGCATTTCAATGGTTGTAGTAAGATAGACTGAAGCAGCATGTATCAAATGCATTCCCCCAGCAAAAAATTATATTGTACGTAAAACCTTTTGTTACTGTAGTTGTTTCCTGACCATTTCTGATGCCTTAGTTGTAGGGACACAATTGAAGAGTGAAACCAAATCAAAGGACAATATGATTTTATCTGATTCAGTGTAAGTTTGTGGACAGCATTAGGGAACACACACATAAAGAAAGGTGTTATCATATGTGGTTATTCCAACTGGGTCTTCAAGACGCACAGGAAAGAAGGTCAGAAACCAACTGGGGAGAAACAGAATGACAAATGGAACGACGCTGTCGTCCCTTATGTAGCAGGTCTGTCAGAGAAACTCCAAGCACAACATCCCAATGCACTTCCGACATGGGCACACCCTTAGATGGAAACTAGGTCTGTTGAGGTCTGTGGAATTAACAGGCTGAGTGTGATGTGTAGGACCCAAATCCAAACGCTCGGAGACAGAATCATCTTAATAAAGGCAAACCATTCATTAGGCTGATGACCCACGAACAAAAGACTAAGCAAAAAATACAAAAAGAAACCAAAGTATATCAATAGAACGTAGGAACATAAACCATTTCTCAAAACCCAACTCTAAACACAGAAAGAGCCCGACCAGAAAGACCAAAACCATGACAGGTAATCCAAGGACAAAACTCACAAACAAGCTAAGCAGCATAGTGTATGCTGTGGGTGCAGGGAGAAGTGCTTAAAACTTCTGCATCGGAGAAATTAAACAGCCAGTCCACAGCCAGATTGATAGTGGGTCAGTGACCCTCTTCAGGGTCAACTCCCACTAGTGTTTGAATACCTGGGACTTTCCACCATTTGGTTTTAGAAGTAAACAAGTGTTTTGGATGAGAGGTGAAAATCACAAAATTTCACAAAAGTCCACTGGCTTTGTTTCCAAGCTCCTTAGCCTACTGTGGCCTTAATGACTGAGAACCTACACAGACATATTGGCCTGTAGTGTTGTTCACCACATTCCCACTGAGTTCTTGATGATGGCTCTTAGGGACTTGTTCATCTTGTACAGTTCTAAGCATCCCATGCATTGAGTCGCAGGTTTTCTTGTAGTCGATGGAGATGTTGCACAGGTTGCTCAGTCTGATCTTGCAATTCTCGAGTACCTGCTCTGTCTATTAGCAGCTGGTGTTTTTCTCCTGCTGGTTTCTGCTAGTCCCTTTCTGGGCTCATGTATTGAGCCATTTGCCTGTTCATCTTAGCCACTATGACGACTGCAGGAGCTTTCATGAGGTGCTGAGGGAGGTTTTCTGTCATTAAATACAAAGAAAACTCTTCCAAATCTAGCATTAGAAGAAAATTCAGCAATATGAACTTTATTTGAACAATATTTATTGTCCAGTACATGTCCTAAGAGTTCATCTATGTCTTTCATTCCAGCTACATTTGCGATGAAGATCAGTGTGGAAAATGATAAGAAAACAGGCAAAAGTCATGTGGTGTCAGCTTCAACCATCATCCCAGAAACCATCCAAAAGAATGGGATAAAGGTGTATGATGATGGGCGTAAGTCTGTGTATGCACTGCACCCAGGGACAACTAAAATCCATAGTGAAACAGTTGGAGAGATGACCCCTGCAGAGGTAGAAGAGCTTCTGCATCAGGCCGCTGATAGGAATGTACCTACTGAGGTGCAGTACCATCTACCTGTCTATTCTGTACCCTATATAGGGACGAATAGGCCATCAACACCAAGGAAATCAACTAAATCACTAACAAACTCAAAACCCAGCCCCTTACGGAGTGTAAACTCATTCAAAAATGGATCTCTAATCCTAAATGAGAAGAACCACTGCAGCCAAGGCCTGCAGGAACAAAAATCCCCAAACAAAACTCCTCTATCGATCTGTCAAGACTCGACTTTAAAAGTACGAAGAGTTGGAGAAGGGGCCAAACTGCACTCTCGAGAGCAGGCCAAGTGTGAGACCTTTCTAATACCCCAGTCACACTTTAGCACCAAGTGTCCAAGAGCATTCGCCAACAGCACGACAGATACAAGCAGTCCAAACACAGCAGCTCTTGTTTCAGTTAAACTCAGGTCTGAAGGAATGCCTGGACCCAAAGAGCCTGTCTACAGAACATTAGATAGATCTAGTTCTTCACCCGTCCACCATAAATTTGATCCTGATCCCTTGCTAGGCACCTCAGGTGACTCTAACAAAGATTTACCCTCTTGTGCAGAAAATAATGTCTCTCTGAACCTTGTCGGCACTCTGCCAGGGGAGCTGAAGTTAGAACCCATATCAATGATCTTCATGGGCTACGAGAATGCTGAGGAGGAGGAGGAAGACATTCAAGCTGAGTTGGTGATTATTGACAACAGTTCTGATAATAACGACAATGATGAGGATGAAAATGAAATCAACAGGGAAGAGTATCTTTTATACCACCCACAGGGGTACAGAAGCAAAGTATTTCAACCCAAGGTGCATATAGCTAAGGTCATAGAGCTCAGAGACATTACAGATACCTAAAGAGACCAGGAGGATTTAGGACTCCACATTCATCCACAAGCATGGAAAGCACAGTCCTTATTTACAGAAGCGGTCACAATGGGGAAGATGAAGCTCAATCAAACAGGAAAATGAGAAACTGAATTGGGAATATAATTTGTTAGGTGACTTTTCTTCCCCATCATTTCTTTGATTCTTTGTTTGTCTTTTTTTCTGGTGAATGTGTTCATGCATGCATTTTCTGCTGCCAAGCCAATGTAGTATGTCTCAGCCTGCCAATCTTTAATAATAATAAATTGTGATTCGTGCCATTATGAAACCTTAACTTCTCTTGAGTGATAGAAACACCTGATGGACTTTTTGTTTATTAGTAACTGTGCCACTGGAATTTACATTTTATCATTCAGTTAGTTTGTTGCTTTGTAACTGAGTTGCATTAAATGGTACTGTGCTGTGAATCAACCTGCTCATACCTTTGATCTAAGTTCATTCGTTTGGTCAAGTCTATGTCTTAAATATCTGATGGCAGTTATCTACCAAATGTCCTTGTTTCTAGTGCACTTTAGGAGTTGGAATGGGAGAGTCTGGTATTGGCGGGGCATAAACATGTCAAAATATTAAAACCTTTGTTGTAAAAATATTAAATATATCATTTTATTATGATGTCCGTGCTCATAATTTAGTCAGCTTGAACTTTGATTAGATGATTTCTAATTTTACCTTTCATTTAAATGTTTTCTGAATATTAAGAATATCAGCTTCCTTTGGGACTGCACCTGCTCACTCCTTTTTTGTAAATAGCCTTTGTGTTGGACTTCATATACCATGTTTTCTGCACTATAAGGCGCACTTAAAATCCTTTAATTTTCTCAAAAATCAACAGTGCACCTTATAATTGGTATGCCTTATGTATGAATTCTGGTTGTGCTTACTGACCTCGAACCAATTTTATGTGCTACACAGCACTCAAAAATCTATCATGTTTGTTTGTTTTAGTATGACTTTGGTAGCTACGAAGCCGCACTGCTTGATGGATTTTCGGAGCATTACGACTACCGTAGTCAAGAGCCTCGTGGAGTAATCTGGGTCCAAAACTCCGTCCGCTTCAGGTCCCAAAGTCAAACGAACACTGTGGCGCCAATTAAAGTTACAAACTGTCTAAATTCTTTCACCTTTAATAAAATGATCAATGTTGCTGCTTTAGTTTAGTTAGCAGGAAGTTAGCTCGCTAGTTAGCTAAACATGATATAGCATGTTCTGACTGAGAGATTTCTGAAACATTCAAACGTACAGCTCTGTTATCACTTCCAACATAAATGAAGACAGAAAACTAAACAGCAGTGACGTTTGTAGGGTTACTGAAGTTGGACTAGCTGGTATATAATGATGTGCTACGTGATTGCTAGCGACACAGCTATGTTAGCATAAACACAGTGATGCTGGAGGATGAACACTAACTTTTTTCCACTCGATAAAAGTTAACGTGAGGGATTCTGGTGGTTAGGGACAAATGCAATCATAGCAGGATGCTGTA